AAAAATGGCCGTGGACCACGTGTCAGGGGCGGAAAAATGGCCGTGGACCACGTGTCAGGGGCGGAAAAATGGCCTGGACCACGTGTCAGGGGCGGGAAAATGGCCACATATCCTGTTCGTAGCCCAAGGTGGAGTTCGCAAACCGAGGTAAATTTTTGCTGCCAGAGCTGGTCGTAACCCGAAAAGTTCGTTAACAGAGGCGTTCGTAACCCGAGGTACCACTGTACTTCTTTTACAGCATATCTGTGTTACATATATTGATTGTTTTAAAATGATGTATAATTTTACATGGACAAATCACAGTTTTAATAAAATTTGCTTGTTTCCCATCTTGGTCTAAACCAAAATGGAAAATCTAACAATGTCAATATATTTAAATTCAACTATTTCATCACAAGCACATCTAACTGTTCCATTTGACTTCATTAACTAAACACAACTAATGCTGCTCATAAACACTTATTCATTATCTCCATGTGGCCTCTTTATGATTATCAAAGCCATCAAACATTTGTTCAATAAACCGAAGGAGGGAAACAAAGTCACTCCAACATACATCACAAAAAGCAGCTTGTTCAATAGCATGCTGTCAAGTTGAAACCAAAATAATTTCAAATATTATGTTATTCAGGGCAGCTTGAACAGCAAAAAAAACCCCAAAACAAAAAGATTTATAATTAAAGGATTGCCGGCAGCAACTGATTAAAAGAAAATGACAAGTGTATTCACATTTCTCACTCCCTCCACTCATTTTTATGACATGTATGCCAAATCATTAAATCACATTAATTTTCAAAGAGGTAAATAAGGGAAAAAAAGATCCATTCTCTAACGATGAATTACAGATTTGGGAAACATTTTGTACAAACAACTTAACTTTCCACTTTAAACCTGAATGAGGGGGAAATGAATGAACTCTTGTATGATGCATCACATTATAATTCAAGGACAAGCAATCAATTATAGCTCCTTGTTAGAAGTCTAAAGAAGAAGCTGTTTAGTTTGCAAATTTTTGCTAACAACCCCAATCTATAATGCTGACTCCCAGAATGAGATGGAATCTGAATTTAAATAGCAGCATACAGTTCTTCTTTATTAAAAAGAAAGAGTCCTTGCACTTATTTTGTTAAACAAGTCACCCTTTCTGTGAGGTCTGACATTCTAACAACCCTAAACTGAAAAGAATCATGGCTGCTTCAGACAGATGAAGAAACTTCACCTCAAGTATTCTACAAAATTAAGAGTTTATTATGGTTTTACTAACACCGTGGGGCTTTATTAATGGACCATTTAGGCTTTCTAAAGTTTGCAATGAAAACCAGGCATTTGAAGTACTATCAAGAATTTCCCCCTAAAAACTACAGGTCATCCTTGCTTAACGACCACTCATTCAATGACCATTTGAACTTACAATGGCACTGAATGAATGGTATTTACGACCGGTCCTTGTACTTATGGTTGTTGCAGTGTCCCCGCAGCCACGTGACTGTGATCCATGAGCTCGGCAACTGGCTTGCAATTACAATGTTGCAGTGTCCCAGCAGCCACGTGACTGTGATCCA